CAGCTGTCACACAATTGTCAATTTGTCAAATCAGGGTAATTCCAGGGTGAGTTCAGCGGAATTTTTTTTCCGATTTTTGGAATTTTTTGGCAATTTCAGGTCAACTTCGAGGGGTAGGAGTGAGTGCTTTCAGGTTGAGTTACGGGGGTTTTAGGTCAATTTTCGGGTTTGTCAGCTTGTGACAGAAAATTTCGGACAAAAGTTGAGCTACTTTAGTTAGGGTGTGGGGAGTGGTGTATGGATGGCGCAGTGGGTTAGGCGATAGTCTATGGGTTGGGTGGTGCTGCCGGGGTCATGGGTTCGGATCCGGCCTGGGTCGGGAAGGTTTTTGCAAAAATTTTTTTAGTGGTAATGTTAAATGACAGTTGTTATTAATAATAGTGATAATGTTAAATAATAATAAATAATAATAATGCAATAATAATTAAGTTTAAGTAATAATAATAAAACTTTAATTTAATTAATTAATTAGTAATTAAATTTAAGACCTATCCAACGTTCCTGCACAGCAAAGGCAAGAGGACGTACGGACCGTTCGTTGTGGAGATATTGAATTATCACCAATACCCCTCAATGACCTCTCATATGGTAAAGGTCATGAAAAAGGTATTTTTTATTTTTATGTTATTATTTTTATTATTTATTATTATTTATTATTATTATATATTATTATTTATTATTAATGTGTATTATTATTATTTATTATTGTTATAATTATCATTGATGTTGTTTACACGTCACATAATATGTTCAATTGAAATGTTGTTGCGAATGGTTATTAATAATATTATTTATTATGTATATTATTTANTATTATTAATGTGTATTATTATTATTTATTATCATTGATGTTGTTTACACGTCACATAATGTGTTCAATTGAAATGTTGTTGCGAATGGTTATTAATAATATTATTTATTATGTATATTATTTATTATATTTATTATTATTATTATTATTGTTATGTTTATTATTATTATATTATTTAAATTATATAATATTAATAATAATAATTGTTTTTGTAATGATACTGCTCGAATACTCACCCTTAGTGTACTGTGATGATTTGGTGCACTGTAATGTATATTATTATTTATTATTATTATTGTTATTGCTTATTATTATTTATTATTATTGTTTTTATTATTTATTATTATTATTGTTATTATTTATTATTATTGTTATTATTATTTATTATTATTGTTATGTCATTGTAATGGTAATTAATTAGCGTGTTGTCTCATTTCATTGGCAGTTGGTCTTGAATCAGTCATATTTCTCATTTAGTATTGTTATTATTTATTGTTTATATTATTTATTTATATTTATAATTATATTATTTATTGTTAGTATTATTTATTATTATGTATAATTTATATAATATAATTTATATAAATTATAATAATATATAGTAAAAGTAATTAATTACTTTCAGTTACGCTACGACGTGCCCCTAATTAGAACTGAGCCCAAACCGGGTAAGGGACTCAGTAATAAGCTAGTGAGTTGTTATACAGCATGGTCTATTTCTTAGATTAGGTTATCTCAAATTATCTATATTATAATATTAATAATAATTAATAATATTTATTATAGTAATAATAATAATAAATAATAATAAATAATAATATAATAATAATAATAACCGTATACGTATACAGGCCCGTACGCATTTGGGGGGGATAGGGTGGATTCCGGGGGGGGGGGGTAAGATGTCCCCCTTGACTACCCTAAAAACAATTTGGTCCCTGCCCGGTTTGGGAATTGATATAAATTACCTGTATGTCTTACCTGTATACGCTCAGATCGGAGTTTATTTGATTGACCTTTGACCTTTTGACCTGTGGCTCGCTGAGAGTTTGACCTTTTGACGTCTGGCAGATCAAAAGTTACCCGGGCATCTTGATTAAGCGTACGGGCCTGTATAAATGGGTGTGTACATGTAAATATG